GATTCGAAGGACTGAGTCAGCTGTACTGTGAGAAAGCGGTTTGGGCCCAAAAAGACGATTAGAAGTATAGACTATACTGGACAAAACTGCCGCCAGATGCAATCTAAGTAGGCGCGACCTATTGAATCTTAAGTCAAGCCTAGGCTTTGACAATACCTCAACGCTCCGTAGGATGGAACAGTTTTCAAAAATTAATGGTTTTTGAGCAAGTTCACAGTGTCAAGGAAAGGGTCGTTGCGGTATATAAAAAGGTGTCCGTACATGCGGCCTGGAATCCGGTGATTAGTAAGAGCTGCCGCATTCGCATTTTTTTTTCTTTATAAGGTCCTAGCTTTTTGCAACTTTAGTAACACCCATCCAAGTAAATCTTTCGCCTACAGAAGTAGCAACGCCGAGTAAAACGTCGATAATAGTTTGAGACTGCGTCTCCTTTTGCTCCAAGTAGGACTTAACTAGTTAGTTGGCGTGAAATTGGGTGGTCCGAGCTACTCACAGCATTTTGATTAGCAGTTCTTCCACCACCGGTCGATTTGTAATTTAGTACTACTTGTCACGTGACGAGGACCTAGCGATGATACTAGTCAGCAGCCTCAACTCCCAGCAGCCGCGCAGTTATCGGCAAGGACCACTGCCATTCCGAAGACACAGTCTGCACGTGCAGACGATTAGGTTCATAACAAAGTTTATACTTTACATTGCGGTGTCTTTTGAATTAGAACATACACTGTGGCCCGATAGACTGTACTGCCAGATTTCTAGCAGAAATCTGTCAGTTCGTATGGATAAAGTGAGTATAGGCAGTGTTAGCCTTTTCCGTTATGTTTGCTGATGAAAGTGCAAAACTAACACTACAACTAGCTTCAGGACGTAAGGTAAAGAGTGACTAATTAGGTGGGGCAGATTCGAACACTAAGACGCGTGTGACGTGGGAACGTCGCTTCACTGGAGGTCCTATAGGTGATCCTTTTGCGAGCCATAAGGAGTCATCTCTCTGAGAGTGAAGATGACGGTTCCCACACGTACAAAAGCAACTACCAGTAAAAATTGCAGCGGGAGTAAGAAGACACCTAACAAAAAGGGGAGGAGACTGCAGGAGACCGTCTACCGTCAGC